TCATTATCTTGTCTAAATGGGCACAGGACTATTGTGTAGTGATCAAGGTGGACATTCTTCTCCAGCTGAGTTTGTTGTCTTGTTCTGGCCCTACTTTTGCTGGAGATCACCCATCTCAGAGTAGTGGTTGTAATCTGGGATTTTTCTGGTTATAAAATTGGGTTCCACGCTGGGCTATGGCTTTCCTAACCCAACTGTCCGGGTTTTTTCATGTTTTATTTTATTTTCTGTAGTTCCTGCTGTTGTGACCCCAAGATAGATAATGTGCTCTGGAACAAAATGGTTTGGCTGCTGATATAATCAGTCTGAAATGAAATAGTTTGGCTACGGATATAATCAGCAAAAATGCATTGCACCTTATTTTTTTCAGCTTCTCAGCTTAGAATTGATTGCAAGTATCCTTTGGAGTATTTGCTTATTCCCGATCTACAGCTCAGTCTTCTTTAGTACTGTTCCTTGGTACAGCGCCTTGGGACGTCCTCCTGACGTGAAAGGCGCTCTATAAATGGAATCTTGTTGTTGTTGTTGTTGTTGTTGTTCCCAAGCTGATATAAAACCATTTGTTTTTGTTTGAAAGAGTTGATCAGTGCAGCATCAACTATTTTTATTGTGCATCTACCTTTCCCATATATCCAGAGGGAAATTCATCTGATTTCAATTCTTACTTGAGATGTATATTTGAAGCACATACCCTCTTGTTCTGCTTTCATTATTTAAGTCAAGTAACCTGCTTCTTCTACATCACGCATGTCTCCCATCATTCTGGATAGCTGGATCATCTTCTGCTCAGTCATTTTCTATTGGGAACTAGTAAAGCTTTGTGTCCTTATACCTGCAGATTTGGAATTCTCTTTGTTGCTGTAATCTGAATCATCTCCACCTTTGATGGGAATGTGTCCAAAATCCTACACAATATTCTAAATGGGAGAATTTTTTCTTTAATTAAAAAATTGTTTCCTCAAAGAACTGCCACATCTGCTTTCGTAGATGACCTGGGCAAAAACAACTGTAATTTCATACCCCACCTGTAGTAATATTCTGCTGCTGTTAATTAAGTACATATGCAGATACTAATTGTAAAGATGTTTACCACAGCGGCAACTAATCGAAATAGACATGGGAAATTAAGGTAGTGTTCCATAACAGTCCATGTTTATTTGGAGGGATGACGATTGCTGTTTTAAATTTATAATACAGATGTTATCCAGTACCAAAACAACAATTACAGATTTCATTGGGTTTTAAAAAGAGACAACCTCTGAATACTGAAAAAAAAATCAATTGTAAAAATCCCCTTTTTCCAGAGGGCATAATGTTTACCAGGCCAAAACTGAACACACCGCTGTCGAGTCTTGGAAAGTAGAATGAGGCTCTGGAATTAAAAATCCATCAAATTGGGAAGTTGTGTATGGGGAAATTGTAGGTCCAACACACACTATTTGACCAGTGGCAGAGGAAAGGCATAAATAGTCCTTTGCAGAAGTTGCATATGATAAGCCCTTAATAGCGATAAGTATTCTAAATAATGACAACATTAATATAGATTAACTGCCTAGATAATATGTTCTATTCTGGTAATCAAGTCTATGCATGATTATGTGTGCCTAACAATCTTACATTTAGAATAGTTGACACAGGTTCAGCTGTGGAAGCTTCTATTTCATACCATTTGTAATGAAGAAAAACCAAACATAATGAAATCACATAAAATTGTGATTTTTTAATATTCTAATAGGTGTCAATGTGACTCAGTTGGTCGTGCGTTTGCTTCTGAGCCTGAAGGTTGTGGGTTCAATTCTCATATTGTACTGTAGCTTTGATAGTGCTCAGGCTGATACTCAGTGCAGTATTGGGGATGTGCGGTATTGTTGGAGGTGCCCTCCTTCAGATGAGACATTAAATCATCCGCTTGTTCAGGAAAACATTAAATTGAGAAAAAAATTCAATTCAAATCCATAGTTTCTTCTTGCGTCATGGCCAAGAATCCTCCAGATAAATTGGTGATTAATTTTGTTGTTGATTGTGGAACCTTGCTGCCTGCAAATTGGCTTATGTTTCTGCCCATACTGCACTTGACAGAGAACTTTGAGGCTTTTCCACTTAATAGATCCTATATCGAATGCAAGGATTATTATCCTACTGAAATGTGGTATTTGCTACAGGGTTTTTTATGTTATTGATTCCAGTTACTCAATGCTTCATTGAGGAACTGAACAGGTGCTTTATAAATTACATTTTAACATAATCTGATACTGTATTTGGATGTTTTAATCTGAAATGTGTATGAACAAGTTACATTGCAGGAATGAACACTAACAGCATAATTTGAAAATGTTGCATGTATATGAGATATTGATATTGCACAGAGACAAAGTAACCTTATCAACAAACAGAATGGCAGTGCGATTCTCAGCAAATCAATTGTTTTTACTGTATTTGATACAGCTCTCAGAATGCATTCTCAATTCTCAACTGTCCATTAAAAGAACCACAACAAATAAGTACATTGCCAAAGAAAGCTCAAATTTGTTCCTGTTCACAGAACAAAAATGGTCTATCTTCTCATGGGTAGAAGCTATCAGTGGCAAAGCAAGTCATATCTATGTTCATGCTTGGGGGGTGGGGTTGTGAGCTGATTAGTGCTTTCAGTTATAACAACAACAACAACAACAAGATTCCATTTATAAAGCGCCTTTCACGTCAGGAGGACGTCCCAAGGCGCTGCACAGTTGGATCATGACCATAAGTGTATAAGAGGAACGATCGTCTTCATTCCTGTTCCATGGACAAATAATTGCCAAACACCTATGGGCTGCAGTCAGCTGCCCTAATAACTGATACCCCAGAGTTGTGGCCAGTGCCATGTGTGAGTTATAAATTTTATTTAAATTCCACAGAATGTTAAATTCTGTTAATGTGCTTAAAATGATTATTCAATTTCAGTTGTAATTTGATGTGTTCAATTTTTAATTTTAAAAGTGCAACTGATGTGGCTTTGGGTTTACTGTGTGGGATATGTTGCATATGTTTTGAATATTATTTTAAATTGTTCTAATTTTGACTGTTGAAAATGTACAAGTGCTTCTGTAAAGACAAATTCTCAAAATAAATAAATATATTTATTTTAGTCGATACTTTAAATTCAACAGTGGCAATTTAAAACTGACTTGATGTGTTAATTGTTTTTATTTTATCAGACACTAATTATCCTGTAGAGAGGTTTGAGACATTTCAATGACATAAGCCACTGTTTAAAATGTGAGGATTATTATTATATAAAAGGCCACAGTTCTTGGCATGAGCAGTCCATTTGAGTACAAATCCTCGATGATCTGGGAGTGAATTAATGGAGAACAAAATAGGTCTGACCTGAATAAGAATTCCTGCAACTGCCCTGAAGTAATTATTTACAATACATTGTGTATGGATGCTTTATGAGAAATACCATAGCAAACTAGTTGTATTACTAAATTAGATTCAAATGATCTTTTCATCCTAGCAGCCCTTTCGACAATATTAATAATTAAACAGCATGGTAGCTCTATGGTTCTCAGATTTCATAGATGAATCTCAATCATGTGCTCAGACAGCCATAATGTTAATGCTGAAGGAGGATCTCTTATTGTGTTTTACTTTGAACAGCTACTAGTGGGAAATAGTGAGGACAGCAGATTTCTGAGTACATTTTGTCAATGTGTGCATATACTGGGCCGGCTTAGAAAGCAGAGTAATGAGTACAGCATGTAGCAGCTTGCTGGATGCCACACAGCAGGATTGGTAACTGCAGACAAGTTAAGACGGGTTATGGAGACGAAAAGGACATTGTGCAAAAGCAGCCTGAAAAAATCTTACTTCTGCAGTTTGACTGTTCTGTAGAAAATGTCAGAGTTGTTCAGAGTAATGTAATGCATCTTTACTATTGTAAGAAAAAGAAAGGAAGCGGCACAGAGTGATACTTGTACAACTATGGTCACCATACTGTAGAATTGAGGCCATGTCTATATTTCACTCTTGCTTCTGAGTGAGAAGATTGTGGATTTGAGCCCCACCTTGAGTCTTTGAGCTCACATAGTTTAGGCTGACATTCCAATGCTGTGCTGGGTGCTGTCCTTCATGTGAGATGTAAAAGGTCCAATTGTGTTTATTCTGTAAGGATATCATGTGAATTAATCTTGTGATCTTGGGTGAATGACCTCCTCTTACTATTCTGATCTACGACTTGTAGATGGATGGGCGACAGAAACGTGGTATTACATAGTTTGCCAATCAGACTGCCAGCAAAATCCTGGCTGCGTCTTACTGCAAAACTGCGTTGCTGTTTGCAGTGAGTTGTTTCAGCCACATTTTGCTGAAGCCTCCAATGTCAGTGTTGCCACAAGTGTCAGACATGTTGTTGGTAGAGAACAGTGAACATATACAAATTAAATCAAAGTCTTGTTATGTTCCTGGGCATTCAGGAACCCCCAGGTGAAATTATGACAGAAATTGTAGCAACTATCCATAATGTTTTGTCAGTTTCAGTTAATAAAATATTGATTCATACTAATTCGATATTTAACTTTTAGCAAAATATCTAGTTTTCAACTTGTCCAAAAAACAGTGTAGCTTGATCATAAGAGAAGTGTGTGTATCCTGAGGCATGTCAATGGTGTCTCATTATTTATATAATTTGATGTAATTCCCGAGTAAGGAATTCAAAGACATACAGTTGAGGATTCCCAGTGACTGAAATACATCACGATGACCGGAGCTGAGCTTCCTGAGGACTGACGGGAATGCAATCCTAGTAAGGAATTAAACCCCAACATCTCTCCTGACATTGCAGTAACTTTCTCTCCTGACATGGATCTTTTGCGTAATATCTGTCTACACTGAGGATTTGTATGGTTTATATCCATGAGTTATCTCCATGTGTTTAAAAGGTCTTGATTGGATTGTATTTCATGTATTTCTGTAAAACTGACAACATTTTAGAATTCTGTTTTTGTTTTTTGTTGCAGTCCAAGGACAAAATGATGCGAGGCTCCCGGAGAGGCTGTGTCAGACTGAGGGTGAGTGCAGCATGGTGCTCGATTACCAGCCCCCTCCTCACCCAACCACAGCAAACTATCAGCACAACTTTTCAATTGTTTTTAAACTGAGGCAGCCTCACTAATATCTTTTGAGGTTTTAAGCATTCATATGACTCTTTTACTTTTTTTTGCAATACCACATTTCTTGTGTAATATTGTGACTGTTTATTGTGGTCCCTATGAAGGTCAGTTTATGGCATATTAGATGTATCCGAACAGTATCCTTCATGGTTCTAAGCTCTTGGATATGTAGTGGAAGGGTTTCTTGCGGCCCCTTTATGTGGGCAGGAGCAAGGATGTGTGTGTATGGGCAGGAGGCTGTGTGTGCAGGGTTAGGTGTGTGTGAGCTGTGTGCAGGGTTAGGTGTGTGTGAGCTGTGTGCAGGGTTAGGTGTGAGCTGTGTGCAGGGTTAGGTGTGTGTGAGCTGTATGCAGGGTTAGGCGTGTGAGCTGTGTGCAGGATTAAGTGTGAGTGAGCTGTGTGCAGTGTGCAGGAGGATGCTGCTATCTGGCATTTCATGCTAGATCATGTTGCTCACCAGGAAGCTCATAGGGGTCCCGCTACTTTCTATTACCTACTGAACGCTTAAACTTGCGCTTGACGGGAGTCAATAAACAAGTAACTATGCTCCTGTGGTGGGAAGCAATGCAGGGTGTCCTTGGAGCTGAGCCTGTTCCAAGGTGATGTGCTTGGCATCAGAATGTCAAAATCGAGTCAATCTGGTAGTCCAGTTCCTGAGCCAGGCAGGTTTGCAGTATTCCAGGCCGCTGTTGATGACAGACCTCTTGGACTAGCTCAAATCAGCATGACTTGAAGATGCAACACAGGGAGCAGGGATTCTTCCCACTGTTAACCCTACATGCTAAAACCCTAACTGGTAGGTGGTGCCAGCTAGACAAACAACAGGCAGCTTGCCACACAGTGCTCTCAATGCCAAGCTATGCAATTTTAGCTTGTTGAACTTCAGTCATAATCCAACACACATTCTGTGTCTCTAAGTCTTGGCTCTCACCAGTCGCTAATACTCTCCAAGGTTAGGGAAGCAGTGTCCCTCCTGGGAGAAAGTGTATATTTCATTCCACCCACAGGGAATTTTCTTTTGTGGCGGCTTACATATGTCTAACCGAGTCTGGCTTGGCGATGGGTTTCTGAATGTATCGGACATTTGGCAGATCCCCTTGCCTACATTGTTATGATTATATTTTAGGTGTCACGTTTAACTGTACACTTATCAATGGTGAAACTAATTCTTTGATTGCTGTTTCATATTCTATACAAATCGTAATTGTTTGCTCTTCCGCAATATATTCCTAAGTTATTATTAGTACATCTTTCCTGTGTAATAGTGGTGGTGTGGCCAGCACATGCGCAAAGGTCAATTAATACACACAAATTGTGTAATTTTCTAGTTGAATCTGCTTATGGGCACATATGTTTTGTTTTCCTTTTGAGTGTGCATAATGGTTACTAAATTAAAAACAAATCAATTCAAGGTGCAATTATAGTATCACTGATCCTCTGTTTCCTCCTAGTTGTAATTTACAAATTACTCTCCTGCTCCTCTTTATGTCAGTATATTCCGTATTTCTCGATTCTGTGCATTATTGGACACACCCTCATTAAACCTTTACACTGCTTGTGCGATTGATTTGCTGACGTGTTTTTTTTGGCACATTCTGTGTGTTGCAAAGTCAGGGCAATTAAACTCCTAGTCAGCAACAACTGGTCACTTTCCATTTGCCTGTGCTTTTTCCTGATAACTTTAACCAGTTGGATTGCATTTCTTTCAGACAAGATCCATTAGACATTTTCAGTGCAGTTGTGCTGATTTGTTTGCTAATTTTGTATTTGTTATTCTTATTTGCTCCATGTTGAAAGATCTTTATCTTTGTGAAACAATCTCATTCCTTGATTTGCAAAGGGCAGAATTGTTTTGCTATATTGTCTATTTAATTTGTATTGCTATTTTTTCCCCACTATCAATCTTCTCAATCTTTTTGTTGTTTAAAAAAACAAATTGTGCACTTTAAATATTCTTTCATATTTTTTAAAATGATCTACTTTGTTCCTTTGCATCTTACAAATACAGTTTCTTTCCTCATATTAATCTATTTTGGCTATTCGTTGAAAAGCAAAAATCAGATCATTTGTTTGATATCTACAATGTGTTCTATTTTCTTTACTCGTTCTGTTTAGCTTCAGTTCTTCTCCATTGTTTCCAACACTACGATTGCTTTGTTTCGTCCCCACAAGGGAAATTTGTATGCGTTTCAGTTGTGTAAATTCTCAACAGGATTTTTCACTTTGTCTCGACGAATGGCTTCTCCTCCACCCCCGTACTGTCTCATGTGGAGTCCTTCAGGGCTCTGTCCTCGGTCCCCTCCTCTTCACCCTCTATATGCTCCCCCTGTGGTGACATCATCTGCAGACATGGAGTTAACTTCCACATGTATGCGGATGACACCCAACTCTACCTTTCCTCCTCTACTCTCAACTCCACGACCACCGATGTCCTGACGGCTGCCTGTCCGACATCGAGTCCTGGACGAGAGACAACTTTCTTCAGCTCAACGTGCGAAAAACCGAGGCCCTCCTGATTGGTTCGGGTCAGCGCCTCCGCACCTCAGGCGCTGACACCATCAGCATCCAAGGCTGCACTCTCCACCTCTCAAAGCCATCAGGAACCTCGGCGTTTTGTTCGACCCTGAGCTGTCCTTTCTCCCTCACATCCGCACCACAACTGGCACCGCCTTCCATCACCTCCGGAACATCGCCAGACTACGCCATTACCTCACCCCTCACGCGGCTGAAACCCTGGTTCACGCCTTTATCACCTCAAGGCTGGACTATGGGAACTCTCTCCTCGCCGGCCTTCCCGCCACCTCCCTCCACACTGCAGGTCATTCAGAACTCTGCAGCTCGTGTACTGTCCCGCACCAGGCTTCGGGACCACATCACTCCCACCCTCGCTCGCCTCCACTGGCTCCCCATCCCCCAGAGGATTGATTTCAAGATCCTCATCCTCACCTACAAGGCCATTCACGGCCTTGCTCCCTCCTACCTCTCCAACCTACTATCCCCCTACCTACCTGCCCGTACCCTCCGTTCCTCCGGCTCCGGTCTGCTCCACGTCCCCCGCCCCAATCGCCCTACCATTGGTGGTCGGGCCTTCAGCCTCTCAGCCCCGAGGCTCTGGAACTCTATCCCCCAGTGCCTTCGCCGCTTCCTCCCTTTCCTCCTTCAAGGCCGGTCTCAAAACCTTTCTCTTTGACCGAGCCTTCAGCTCCCCTCTCGACTCTCTTCCCCCTTCTCGCTCCCTCCCATCCCTCCCCTCACCCTGACCATTTCCCCCCTCCTCGCTCCCTCCCCTCACCCTGACCATTTCCCCCCTGCTCGGGTCATGACCCAACTGTGCAGCGCTTGGGACGTCCTCCTGACGTGAAAGGCGCTTTATAAATGGAATCGTTGTTGTTGTTGTTGTTGTTGAATGCTTCCAATAAATGGCAAAGAATTTGTCACAGTGCCTGGAGCCGCTCCTCCATTGGCTCAGTCGGTTTATCAAGTTGTGGGGGGGGGGGGGGCGGGGGGGTGAGGACAGATTAAGGGACAAAAATACAAAATAAATTCTGAGGGGATAAAACATTTATTTGGGCTGATTTATGAGGTTCTCCTGCTGGACTAGGGGGTAAATATTAATAATTATAATAATAATCCTTGCATTTGATATAGCGCTTTTCACGTCTTCTGGACGTCTCAAAGCGCAATGGGTAAATAGTAAGCCACAAAACTCTGGTTGCAAGCTCAGTTTCTTGACTGTGCTGAGTAAATTGATCTCAGGTAAGGCAGTAATAGAGGTTCTACAATTCAACTTAGCTTCTCGTATAATGAGGAATGAAAATTGATATGTGTTCCCAGTACTGATTGCTATCCAGTGACTCTCAACCAGAATGGGGATGTGTGTGTGTGGATGTCAGGAGAGAACACAATTTCACTTGGCTCTGATAGCCTACACAGTCAAATAACTTGCTAAATTGGCGGTTGATGTGGTGCTGTTGGCAAACTCCCCTGGAAATCACTCACCATATTGAACACTGCGATATTCAGTGGGACAAGATGGTGGATGCCCCACGTGTGGCTTCAATGCTCTGCATGGTTTAAGAAGGGACTTTGAAGGTATTAATTGGAAGATACAAGGGAAATCCATCTCAGTTCTTGATTTATCTTGTTATTTGAGGGTATCAGATATCTATACACCAATGTTTGCTTGGATCCTGCCCTTAAGGAGAAAGGGCACTCTTGTCATTCTTGATTCCTTTCAATAACAAATCAACACCAAGCAGTCAGGTGGTTTTGTAATAAAAATGGAAACTTATAACAATAACAAAATTACATTTGTATAGCGACTTTCACGTTGGACGTCCAAGGTGCTGGACAATCAGTGTTTCGGATCCGAGCTGGGGGTTGGGATTGGGATCGAAGGCAAGGTCGAAGAGGACGACCTTCAGATGGTCTTGAAGGAAGCAAGGGAGGGGGCGAGGCGGAGAAACTGTGGGATGGAGTTCCAGAGGGTGGGAGCAGAGTGGCTGAAGATCTGCCCGTCAATGGTGTTGTGTGCAAGGCTGGGGACGTGAAGCAGGCCAGAGTCCGCTGAGCGGAGGGAGCGGGCAGGTTGGTAGGGGGTTTGGATGTTACAGAGGTGGGGGTGTGGGGGGCAAGGCCATAGCGGACTTTGAAGGTGAAGACCAAGATCTTGAACTGATCCTCTGTGTGATGGAGAAAGCCAGTGGAGTTGGGCGAGGATGGGGGTGATAGGGTCTCGGAGCCTGGTGCGGGAGAAGACACGGGCTGCAGAAGTCTGGATGATCTGCAGCCTGTGGAGGGAGAAGTTGGGGAGGCCGACATGCAGGGAGTTTGCATAGTCAAGCCTGGATGTCATGAATGGTTGTATGAGGGTCTCGGCGACCTGCGGTGTGAGACAG